TTGCCATAAAGAAAAATTTATAAATAAAATTTAGTGTAGCTTCGGCCAAAACCAGTTCTCTACGACTCTAAATGTTGCAGAGCACACCATAAAGGCCTAGAATGGAAAATTAATAATATATAATAACTGGATTTTTTCTTTTTTTTTAATTTTAGCTGATAGAACAAATCAAAACCAATCGCCTTTATGTTCAAGTGCTAATTTAGATATTGTTACATCGCAACCAAGTACGATGTCGTGGCCAGGTATGAGAAAAATCTACGTAGATTTGTTAAAAAAATATTTTGGTTTATTACCCAGCTTGACATTTGAATACAAATGATTAAGGTAATCTATTTGTCAGTTTAACGCTAATTTCGTCTTATTTTCTGAAAATAATACATTGTATGGGCCTTAACTGGATTAATTTGAAAGTTTTTAAACTTTTTATATATTTTTTTGTTGTTTTTTAAATTTACTTAAATTTCTATGGATGATTGAAAAGGAAATCCTGAAATTTTTGAAAACTCGACATCTAAAACTATCGACTAAAAAATCCTAAAAAAGGAAAAATCTTTGAATACGAACAAAACTAAATCTAAATGTCAGCAAACTCATTTGTTAATTTAGCATGGAATGCCCCATAGGTATTTTTCTGTTTAAAATTAAGACCTTTCTAAATTTTTTTTTTTAAATACACATTTTATATTATTTTAAGAAAATAATACAAAATTAGTGTTAAATTTACAGATAGATAACCTCAATTATTGGTGTTGAAATGTTGAAGTGTGACTTTTGTCTGTGGAGCGTAGTAGGTAAAGGGCGTTTTCGTATAAATGGGACATCCCTCTAAAATCTTTAATTTTAGATATTAAAAAATTCAGATTGCAAGGTTTAAAAAAGTAATTTTTGTGACCAAAAATTGAAAAACAAAAAAGCATCGGTAAAATTTATAAAATGTAACATTGTTTTTTTCAATGGAACACCAAAAAATATATAATTTTTATATGTTTAAATTAAACATTTTATTAATAATTGAACCAAAAACCTGGCTTATTTTTACGTAAAAATCATAGGTGCCATGGATAAAAACTCACGTCGGAAAAAATACATGTTATTATTATTAAGTTTTAACAAAACCCTAATAATTGTTCCAAATTTTTCCTTATTTTAGGGTAAAAGTTTTTTATCAATGAAAACCATGATTTTTGCGTTAAATTTATTTATTTTATTTTTTGGGTCAGTTATTAACATAACACTTAACAAAAATACAAACAACCAATTTATTTTTTAAATCAGATTGAAATATTTAAAAATCTACAGGGTGTTTCATTGAAAAAAACAATGTCAATGCCATTTTATTATATTTACCGATGCTTTTTTGTTTTTGAATTTTTCTCAAAAAATTACTTTTATAACCCATGAAATCTGGATATAAATTTATTTTTTTTATAAGAAAACACCCTATATGTATAGTAGTTTTGACAGTAAGTAGGTAGGTATTTTAAGTGAAAGGTGTGGGCAGAGTAGGTTTTTGAAAAAATTTAAATTGTTCTAAAGGGTCGTTCACATATTACATCACGCGTGACGTCACACTTCCTTACAAATTGTCTGGCCCCCCTCTTCCTAGAGCGTGATGTTATATTTAACTCCTAAATATCAAACTTTAACGGCAAAAAATTTGGAAAAGGACTTTCTAAAAATGAATTAGTTAAAAATGAGTAATTTAATAGTTACTAGTGGCTGCTTTTTCACTTGTACCATGGTTAACCCTGGAATACCATGGTATCCCAAAATTTAACAGCAAATTCTTATGTAAAATTGTCCCCTGAATCCGAATATGTCGTCAAAAGTTAAAAAATTATAACAAATTTTGAGATATAGTCAATTTTCCATTTAATATGGAATTGACTATATCCCAAAAACTGCTCCACATTCATCATTTTTTCGGATTCAGGGGACAATTTTACATAAGAATTGGCTGTTAAATTTTGGGATACCATGGTATTTCATGGTTAGTCATTTTTGACTAATTCATTTTTAGAGGATAAAACATAAGTGAGACATTAAAAAAATAAAAATAGTTTTTAATTTAATTTTAAAAAATTATGATTTTTAACCAAATATTAACAATTAAACTAAAAAAACTATTTGAACAGGGCGACAAATTTTGATACAGTTGCCATTGTATAAAAACAAAAGTTTCCTTCTGCAGCCATGGTAAAACGATCCATTTTACCATACGCACGCACACTTGATAATTTATGATTGGAAAACCATACACGCGATCCGTAAACGTAAATATTATTTTTCCGAGATCGCAACCCACCGATATCTAATGTTTCGTTTAACATTTTCGAACACCTAATCCTAAAGAATGGCTACAGTAATGCTGTAAATAAATTCTGTGTAATTCTTTTAAGCCGGAATTTTATATGTGAACGCCAGGGCTTATTGTTGAATAAAATTGAATTATAAACTCATTCAATATGGTTTTATGGGTTTTCTAATGCCTTTCATTCAGGGATAAAACGAATCAAAAAAGGATTTCTTATTCATTCAATGTCTATTTTTAGATCTGTATTAATAAACCATTTTCTAAATTAAACGATTTGAAACAGTTTCAAGATAAATTTAATTACACCATAACTAGACTGCTTCAATTAATTCCATGGTGCATTATATCAATATTACCAACCTCCAACGTTAAGAAAAAAAGATCTCTCTATAGAGCACGCCCATGTTTCAAAATAAAGTCATCATTTTTAAACTGGGCTTAATAATGTATTACAAACAGTAAATTATACACAAGCATCTATCATATACACAGGTATTTCTGTCTTCACCAGAGACGTAATATTATAAATAACTATGTACACCAATCTTACCTGTCAATTTCCACGGTTTAAATGAGAAATGATTGACAGGTAAATGCGTTGCATTATTCTCCATAGAGGTTAAATCGGACAAAATAATAATTTATTTTTTTCTATTTTCATCTACAAGCAAGCGCTCGTTTCTATTAGGATTTGTCTAGGAACAATGAGACGCGCTTGTTAGCATATCTTATTATTCTTCAAAGGATTAGCTTTGTTAATTTTGCCCTGGTTTGTAAACAATTTTTTACAAAATTTAGTAGCTTCATCTATCTACAAAACAAAACCAACAATTTTTTTCACTTAAAAATATTTGTTATCTTATTCCGCTACTGTCCCTATGTAAACACGATGTTTTTATTGTTCCGATAATAGAACAACATGTCGTATCTGAGCTTTATAAAAAAGACGTTAAAATTAATTAGTGTTGCTTTAATTGGCCGATATAAAGACATTAACACTGAGTCGATAAATTTTTGAAATAATTTTATACAAGTGTGAAAACGCTGAAACAAAACTTAATTTGTTGTTTAGTAAATAAAACGTGAGGAATAAAAAATGTTAAGTGTTTTCATCATGTTGGAAATCGAGTACAAAAAACTGAGTGCAATTATAATTAAAATCAAAATACATAATTATTATATTGAAAAAGCCGTAACATTATTAAATTTTTAAAGCAAACAATGGCTATTGATTGCGAAAATATTATTAAATAAGTATTCATATTGCTTAATAATTATTGGCCTTACATTTTTTTTAAATTGTTATTCTAAAGAACATGTGTTTGATTGATTGTTAATAATTATTTCGTGTTGAAATGCCAATGATTATTATTAGTTAATCTATTAATAAAAGTTTCACAAAGACTTTGTAATTATAAAACAAGCAAAATAGGGATTTATTTTAAAAACAAACACAGTTTCAAAAAATAGTTTTAAATATTAAAAAAATTTAGACTTACTAGCAATAAAATTTATTTTCTTTCTGGTTTGTTTATAAATAGCACGAATGTATTATTCATGTTATAATTAAGTCAATAATATGTAGATATAAAATAAATAAAGACTGAAAATGTTGCCAACATTAGCTGGCCATACACAGACGTTATTGCGCGCGGTTTATCGTGTTATCTGCAAAAACATATGGAAAATCATGTACGTGAGTGAGTATCGCCGCGCGAAATGATAGAACGGGAAGGGATTTCAGACGTGCTTTTCTCTGGAGTGTGGCGTGTCCACACGCCACATTCCGCGTCACGGTTTACCTTTGCTTGGCAAAATTTCACGTTGAAAATTTGTACATGATCACATGCAGTTTCAAACGACTCGATAAATGACACTTTTTGCCAACTCACATACGATTTTTCCTTTGAAACTGATATACCACGGGCAATCACTTGCTAAATCATTTGAATACTTTATCAAGTGTATGGAACATGACGCTTTTTTTGCCATGCCGTTCTTTCGTGCATACTAACCGCTACATCCCAACACGCCACGATAAACCGCGCGAAATAACGCCTGTGTATGGCCAGCTATTAACTGCCAGCAATATTTAAACAAGTTTATTGCTTTCCAGTCGCATTTAAGGCAGCTATACTGTGGATTTAATTAAACAGTCTTCGTATAATGTTGTTTGAGAAAATATTTATACAAGTTACTGGGTCTTTTGCTTATTATTTCTATTTGTATGATATGATAAATTATAGTACTTATTATAAGTATTTGTTTTGTACAAAGCAAACAATATAAAATCCTTGTAAATCTATTGTTAAACATATATTTTTGTTGTATGATAATGTATAACGCATAACTGCAGGGTACAGGGTGTTTTTATTATTTTTGGGTTTTTAGTTCATAAAAATATTGATTGGTTTAAATTTAAATGTCTATAAACTGTATACAGGTTTTTCATATTTCCTCGCTATATAGGCGAACGTTCGTGTTCGTGTTCACTGATGAATCTAAGTTTTCATTACACGGTATACATAATCCTAATAATATCAAATGGAGGTATGTACAATTCGTTGGCCAGCGAGATCACCCGATTTGATTCCTAGTGATTTTTTTCTTTGGGGAAGCACGGAAATATGAAATACTTATATTTTACTGGATTTTTCGGTAAATTTGACTATTTTTGTTGCAGGAATGGCAGTGAGCAGTATGGGTCAGTCAATGTCACCTTACTACAATCCTTCTGCAGCTTACGGGTCCATAAACGCTTCACTTGCAGCTGCAGCCGCACAACAATCAGCTGCGGCAATGTCTGCAGGGCTATCAGCCTCAGGGCAGGTAAGAAATGTATATAAATCTTGCAGCTTTATTATAAAAATCTATGAAATGTTTTATGACATAATTTCCACGATGATGATTTAGCAAATTTATCCCCACTTCCTTGATCTATTTTAAGACTGACTAGCTTTAAAATTGATGGTTTACAATGGGACTAAAATCGATTAAAACCCCCCAAAACGCGATGTTTACTGTAACTAACTGTCTGTGAGAAATGAGACACCAGTTTTATGCATTTTTTTATTAGGTTAAAAATGTCGAGTCATTTTTCGACTACTATCGACCATTTGGTGTTTATGTTGTGAGCCAGGTGGTAAATAACTTTTTGGACGAGGTAATTTATTTAAAAAATAATATACAGGGTGTCACAAATAACAATTATATTTATTTTGTTAATATTGAATATACAGGGTGTTCCAAAAGTCGCGCACCACCTTGAAGGTCTACAGACCTTTAGGAGTACCAGAAAATTGTTCATACTGCATTAAGTCTCATTATACAGTGTGAAAGTAAGAACTCCCCCCCTTTTACTTTTAGGTTATAAATTGGACATTTTAGGATGTTAAACATTAAATACTATTTACATACAAAAAATTTAAAAAAATTAAAATGGAGTATTGCAAAATTATTGACTTACATTTAAATGTAATGTGAATATGTTTGTGTTAATTTTATAAAAAAATTATTTAGGATTTACAAAATTCTGCCTAAATAAATTATACTGAAGAAATTATTTTTATTAAAAAATGAAAAATGAAATTTTTACAAAAATTGATTGGAAATACATGATAGTTGAAAATAAATAAAATTTATAAATGTAAACCGAAAATTTTTAGTTTAGTTTTAAACCAATAAAATTTTAAATTAAAAAATTATTTAATAAATGGTAAAACGGGTGCCATAAATATATGAGGTATTATTTTTCTCTATGATTGGAAACATGAATTTTTTTTAAATTTGTTGTTTTATCTTGTTATAAAACATGAAAATTTATACAAACCATAAAAAGCATTTTGTCTTAAGTTTACCCTCATCATTGGACAAATATTGACTCCACTTTTCTTAAAATTTCAGTAGCATTTCATTGTTTGTCCACAAAGGTGATAAATATACCTTTTTAGAATAAATAAAGAGTTTTAACCACCAAAAGCACATTGTCGAGTCCAGCAAAATTGAAAAAGCAAACACCATATTTAATATGGTTTAGAAAAATTAAAACACCCTAACGATGTATCCCTGTTTACAAAAATGTTTGTGTAGGCGAAAATTTACTGATGAGACTTTTTTGTGGTGATAATCAATTGTTTAGTTTACATTAGGGTGATTCAAAAAATCTACTATTCTTTTTTTTCTAATTTCTGATATCGATAAATTGGTGCATGTTTCGAAAAAACTAAATAAAACTTTTTTGTAGATCAGTTAATTTCCACCAAAAATATTGATTTTAAAATCATATTCTCCAAGTTACAAAATTTAAAAAGAAATAAACTTGCACTCTGTATATACTTTTCTCTATAGTAATGAAATTGAATCGTTATAAAAGATGTGATAAGAATGTAAAATATCAAAGATCTTCGTCAAATATAAATATGTAAATGAGACATAGAACAATTTATCCAATCGATTGTGATGTAAATGAGAGAGTTTGGTTGAAAAAGGCGAGGGTGTTCGTACGGGTTGCGTTCGTATAAGATCGAAAAGAGCTGCTGTCACTAGTACACAGCGAAAGATTATTAAATCAGGATTAGCGGTGTGTTTGTGACTGGTCCCAGAACTCTTTATACACACACATATTCACAGTGAAACTCTGAAGAAAAAACGGGCATTGATTTGTTGGCCATGTGGAATTCAGAAACACGTTGGGGCAAATCAGAGTCCAGCTAAGCGTTTTGTAGTTTAAACATTCTATGTGTAAAGAATACATTTTAGCAGTTCACAAATGCATTTTAGAATGTAAATGCTCTTTTATATAAAAGCAATTAGCTTTCTTCAAACTGAATTAAATTTAAGAAATGTTACAATCTATATTGAAGAAACACTTACACTTACTAACTAAGTTTATATTTCTTCCCATCGTGAAATGTATTAAATTGACTATTTTATACGTCGCGTATAGTCTTGTTTGTGGATAATCATAAAGGCTATCAAGTGTGCGGTTTATTTCATTTTTGGTGACTACTGAGGTAGCGTTGCCCGGGACCGGCCAAATATATTGTGACAAACCCAATTTAACCTGGGGAATTTACGACCAAAAAGTCATTGCCAATTTTCATACTAACAAGGTGTCTTTTAAGTATTTTTATTGGAAGATTTTTTATTTTGCAATTATTTTTAGTTTTAATAAATAGATATTTATCAAAATGAACATCTTTAAAGTTTAATTTTTCAATATATTTGACTGAAGAAGAACTTTCTCAATACTACTAGTTGGGCTATCTATTGATGGGCAATTTCGTTGGAAAGGGCTATCATCTTTTATTGATGTTCTGTAAAAGCTTCATTTGGATCATTAGATATTAAGTTGGGAAGCCTTTACACTGTTTAAAATATCTGTGGTGTAAAGGGAAATCTAAAAATGGTGTCTAAATCCAACACCAAGTGGTATTAATATAACCATGAATTATGGTTGAAAATGTTATATACAGCAAACACCAAAACGGTGTTATCCAAAAATATTTGATCTTTTGCACTTTACACCTAGTATGATTTAATTAACACTGAAAAGGAGTTCAATTTACACTATTTTAGTATTTGAATTTACACTGGACCAACTAACCATTTTTAACACCATTTTGGTTTGTATCGATATAGACCATGTATGGTGTTAATTTGGTTTTAAAAATCAATCATACCCCTTATCTCTCTCCTCTACATTTCCAAATCTGAGAGGCCAACTCCTCCCTTAGGAGTGTATTTACTCCAAAAGTTGTATGCCTTAGTTTACCAAGCGTCTCACATTGTCCCAGGAAGTGAAAGGAGGTTTCTTCCTATCTTCTGCTTCTTGGACATAATAAGGCTAAATAGTGGGTAAATTTATCAAAGATTAACCTAAATCTTTATTGAAATTCATGGAAATGAAATTGAATGTACCTTGGGCTTTCAAAATGTCTGTGCACGGTTTGTTTCCCACAAATTAATTGATGACCAAAGATTGCTCAGAATTTTCTATTCGAAACACATCTTTTTAACAAGCTCGCCGTATTTCCCTGATATATAATTACCTATTTTAAAATGCATTCGCCGATGATAGAAAAGCATTTTGAGGACATTGAAGCCATCCAAGGGCTTTGAGGCTACCTTCTTAGACGACCTAAAAAACTCATTCAAAATGCTTTTTGACCCTGCAAATCACTGTAACAAGTCACAAGAAGATCTTGAATAAAATAAAAAGTCTCGTTTACTTTGGAAGCACCTTGTATATTGCAGGTTTTATCTGCTAAAAACATAATTTTAATTAACTTTGAATGGATTTATCCGGGCATTCTAAAAAGTACTTCACTCGATGATTCTTCCAAAGTCATTGAATCATTAAATTAGCTAATTAATTAAATTGATTTTGGACGATTTAAAATTAAAAACAGCTTGAATAATAATCAATTCAATAATCACACATTACGGTTTCCGCAGAACAATGCCAACGCTTGACAGTTAATAAACCAAATTTAATTTTATATGAGTTATTAAACGCATGAATTTTTCTTTCTGTTGGGGTAATTGAATAGCAAATACAAGTATTTCGAGTAACAAACTAAGAACATTGTCTCCAAATTATAAACAATCAATAAACTTAAAATCTTGCATTAAGCAAGATTATTTAAGAAAAATCTGGTGGAGCATAATATTTGCAACAAACTGAATGATTTATCGTCGACAAAAACGCATAGAAAGCACGGTTGGGACAAGTTGAAAATGCCTCGACAAAGAACCGGTGTAATAAGTTATCCTTTTGTGACTTAAAAGAGCACCTTGCAAAGCTATACATCATACCAAACAATACCCTCTAACGATTCAAATACGACTAACTTTATATTCTCTCTGTTTCTAGGTCGTCAGTCCCATGGATGCGATGAAGTACTCCATGGAGGCCGACAAGTACAGATCCCCGTATATGCCGCCGTCGTCTCTGGCCATGTCCATGTATTCGGATCCGAAATACATGGACTCCACGTCCAAGAGCTACCTGGAAAGGGGCTACTTGGACTCCAACATCACGAAAGCCTACTTCGAGCACTCCAAAATGTACATGGACGGTAAGTACAGCACAGACAGTGCCAGATCGTATCCTCTGGACATTGGAAAGATTCCTGGGTACCAGGACCAACAACAAGTCCAAGGTAATATGTCCTCGCCGCGCTCCTCCGACTCTCCGGAAGTCAAACACAACCCTGAAAGGCAAGATGCTGCCTCATCCTCCAGTTCTACCACAACCTCTTCGGCAGGAGCATCCCCAGGTGCTCTAACAGGGTATTACCCGGCAAGTGCAATGCAGCAGGGTAATCCCGTGCCAGGGTTATTACCCATGGCACAATACGCGAGTCAGTATCCCTCCCAAACACCCACAGGGGAATTCAGAAGACCCTTAACTGTTATATTTTGACCGGACCATATGTGAGTCTGTTTTTTGTTATGTTGGTATACGATCATTATATATACATCGAAGATATGTTTTGCAATACTATCTTTAATTTAATTGTATAATATGTATATATTATTTGTTAGTTTGTACAAAAAATATAGGTATTATTAGAATATCGTTTAAGTTGTGATTCTTGTACAAAGTCTATTTTTTATTTATACGTTTTGTTCCTATTTTTTTGGTAGCTACTATTACTTAAAAAGTGTCAATGTATATCTTGTTATTATCGGAAAAAAATCTAGCATTACTGTAATAATATGTTATGTAAATTACTTCAAAATAATAATAATAATAATAAATTAGAATGTGATTGTTTTAATTATTATAAGAAAACTTCAATATTTCCCTTGAAATAAGGTAAGTTTAATATCTATTTTTCTGGGATTTTTTAAATGACTCCTTTATTTTAATTGATATATTCAACGAATGGTATAATTATTATAATTACCAAACACTTGTACATAAAAGTTAAGGTAAACAAACAGGCAGAATTCTTGTTTGAAGAACTTTTGTATAATTAAGTAATTATGTACTTATTTTTTTGTAAGCTCCACTTACGTTTTTTTTGGTTCATTAATGGTTGTATAAACTATGTTACATTACCTTAAAGACTCAGCAAAAACGTTTCTATGGAAATACACAGTACTACTTCGTTCAGTACATGAACTATATGGTGCCATAAATTAAAATTCGGAAGGCTTTAAATTCATTTTAACCAGAGCTGAGCACGAGTACTAAAAAAAGTATTTGTAATTTTTTAAGTACGAGTACTTACAATATTTACTTGTAAGTACATTTGTAAAGAGAGGTTACGGTTACGAGTTGAAAACACGAGTAAAGAGTACGAGTACTTTTGAAAAAAAAAAAGTTAATATAATTGACAATTTCACTCCTGTCAATTTAAACCCATTAAAAACTGTTAAAAATACGGTTTGCTATCGGATAAAAAGGAAGGAACAGAATTGCAAGTGACTAAAAATGGCGTTTATTTTTCCATAGTAACAGATGAATTATTGTATAGAGAAATATAGAAAAATGACTTTATTTATTTACTCGAGAAAATTTCTTAACAAATACCAATCGAGGTTAGATTGAGCAGGAAATTTAATACATTATATTCTACCAAAGTTAGGTATCGCAAAAACCATAACTTAAGTTTCGAGAATTGAAAACATTTCTTGTTTTAAAGTCTGTTTTAAACTATATATAGCCTATAGTTTTTATAACAAGGAAATACAGACAAAATGTTTAGATGCTTGCTCAATTTTGGAAAAAAGTCATCGATATAATAAACGGAAATACTCTTATTGTTATCGTGAATTCCACGAGTATTTTTTACGAGTACATTAAATTTGGCTTGTAAGTACGAGTAATAAATATTTCAAATGAAAAATACTTATGAGTAAAAAAGTACTCGTATTTTTTACTCGTAATTGAAATACGTAAAAATATTCGTGGACTTGGCCAGCTCTGATTATGACGACCCTTTTGAAACAAATATTTATTTATTCGTCTACATTTATGTTGTCGCCTTCAAAATAGTCCCCATTGGATATTATGCACATGTGCGAGCTCTTCTTCCAATACTCGAAACACTTCTAAAACTCGATCTTTGGGATAGCCTTTAGTTCTTTCAGCGATGCGCTTTTAATGTAATCTATGCTTGCAAAACGACGGCCTTTAAGGTTCTCTTTATTTTTGGGAATAGGAAAAAGTCAGACAGAGGCATGTCTGGCGAATATGGAGGCTGGGGCATCATTACAGTATTGTTTTTGGCCAAAAATTTTGTTCGAAATTTAACAATTTTGGAACAAATTTTGCTGCCACGCGTTTCATACCCAAGACATTCGAAAAAATTTCATGGGTTGAGCCAATCGATATACCAACATCATCAGCGACTTCTCTGATGGTTTATAACCATTTATTCCACTTTTTCCATGGTTTTATCGGTTGTTAATGTGCTTGTGCGTTCGGGGCTTTCGTCATCTTCAACGTCTTCACGGCCATCATGGAAACTCTTATACCACTTGTAAACTCTTGTTTTACTTATAGCAGACTCACTATAGGCCTTTGTTAACATTTCACAGAATTTATTTCATTTTTTAAGCAAAATTGGATACAAATTCTTTGATCCATTTCTTTTAACGAACGAAAAATCGCCGAGCTCATAAAACACGTCTAACCTTAGCGGCTGCCACAGACAAAGTAAACAATGAAAACAGCTAAAGTTTTTATCATACTTCGGGGGCATGTATACCAACATAATAAAGACAATTTTATGACAACCGGACCCTCCGAACCCGCGAAAATTAACAATTCCCGTTATTTTCTGAACACACCTCGTATATCAATTTAAAACACATAACAATGACTTAAGACGAGCAATTGGGAAATAAAAAGTCAATATTCAGGATAGGTGGATGTATAACTCATCTTTGAAAAAAACGTTACTTGTCACTTATGGTCACAAACCGCAAATCTTCCATGTTAAAAGACAGGATCAACGCTTAAGCTTTACTCAGCACTGAAAGTGACATTTTAAGACAACAAAATTATGCAGATATTAGCCATCAAGAGTATGTGATACCTGACACTTTCATTATAGTTGCATTGTTTGGAAAAGTTCTGTATTTGAATTGGATAATATATTATGTTACATAATTTATGTATGTATAATATATTACCTAAATTAAGAAGTCGAATGGGAAACTAATGCCTATTTTGATCCACAAAGATCACTTCAAGTCTATTGAACTCGATTAAGACCATATTAAATAAATAAATGACTGGTCCGATAAATTCTGTTTTCTTCCTTGGTCCATGGACTTATTAAACAACCTAGTAAATCCCGAGAAATAAATGGGGTATAAATTGCGACAGTGTGGACTAAAATCTAATTATTAATTAGTAATTAACGTTAACAAAATATGTACCTACTAATCTTTTATGGAATCTGATGTTTGTATTAGTCTAATTAATGAAAATAGTGTTGTATTTGATCGGCTACATGGGAAAGTACACAGCTCACATCGATTCAACGATATTCAAACACCTTTCTCACAAATTTGTTATGCTGTCGCTTATAATGATTTATCGAGTATTTAATAGTTTATTTTCTTTTGTGTTGGTAAGCGTGGTGTCAGTTTTGTGTTACGCGAAAATAAACAGACTTTTTGTAAGGGTTTTTTCAACTCGTAATTAACCTTTTATGGAGGGCCTTTTTGTGGGTTTAATAACACTTATAGCTCTGACATTGTTTTTGTTAAAAATATTAAATGATCAAAAATGTGTTTGCCAATACAAATATTGACAACACTTGTACAGTTTATTATTAATTTTGAATAGCAATATGCCAAAAATACTCGGAAATATTAGGCAACCAAAAAGAAGTAAATATTGATGTAACTTTCACGAAAGAATTGTTGAAATCTGTTTTTCGAAACTTGTTTCTCGGCCCCGTATTCAATTAAAATGAATGAGTGTCGGTTAAATGATAATAAGGGGCGGTGCGGATTGTCAGTTTAACATTTTTTCGTAACGACCGAGCGTTTCTTCTCGCATCGGACACTGAAACAAAAATATACTATAGAATATCCTGACACTTGATTATACAAATACCATAGCATTAAGTTGTTAGAATATCACGAGGTAGCACGGTAAACAAAGCAAGGAGTTAATTAAGTTTATTTGGATTCTTCTTCTCATTCTTTACAAGGATTATTATGTCACGAGCCCTTGAGGTTTTGTTGGAATTAAGTCTGTATGCACAAAGGATGGTTAAGATTTGTTTTAATAATTATCAACGTTTGCTTTTGAAGAATGTGGCAACGTTTTTGCATTTTCATGGCATAACAATAAATGACGCCTAAATTGTGGGATTTAAAATAAAATCTTTAATCGATAGGTAAGTAGAACGGGCAAATTTTGGCACCCGGGGTTACTTTGGCACCTACGTCATTAAAATACTTTTTTATAGTTTTTGTTCTTTTACTACTTTTTTACATCGTTTTCTTTAGAGAATTCTCTTTGTTACACAGTAAACAAATTGTTAATATTAACCAGATTTTATGAAACATAAGTTGCAGACGCTTAAGTCAGTTGAACTTGTTAATGCATATTGTCAGTGAGAAATGTTTTAATTGAGTGCCTGAAATCACGTGTACTATATAACCTTTACAAAACTTTCGATAAAATATTTTCCTTTGTTAAAATAATTATTTTATCGAAAGTTTTGTAATTACAAACCCTGGTTTTCTTCAAAAAATTTAGTTAAAATTATACAAAATAAAATTAACAAACTACAAACTAATGTTAACAAATCTGATTTTTATAACAGTGTGCAGTTTTATGCAACTAAAAAATGCCACGTGATTGTAAAACAAAATTGAGAGGGCTTACCTATACCAACCACACTCCTTCCCTTTCTTTTTAAATATATTGAAAATTTTTATTTTATTTTTATTTAAAAATTGTGCATTTTATCGATGTTCCTTTTTTTACGTAGAAAACACGTAATTTTTATATTCTGCAGCCAACTTGCAAAAAACTTGCACACAAAAAATTTGGGGCTGAAAATACCTAGGCCGCCCCTGTTTAATACGCATAAATAAAAATTTAAAATTTTGTTGTTAATTCTAAATAAAAAGTTAGTAAGCATTCAAAATTTCAATATTTTATTTCAAACAGTTTCGGACATCATAATAAAAAACCATCTTCATGGGCGCCCCTTTAAGAGGCTGTAGCTCCCTTTGCGACCTATATTTATAAGAATATTTATTTCTATTTTTGTCTTTAAAAACCACGTGTAGAGTATTGCCCACTATTTTTGGTACACCCTGTATATTTTGTTGTTTTTTAATTTTATAGCTGTTTAACTGTTTAAATTTTATAATTTTCAATAAAAGCAAGTTTAAAAAAGCAGGAGCGTAGCGCCGGTTTGGGGTCACGTCTTATTTTTTTTTCAAATAATATATTATTAGTTTGCTATTTTTCCTTTTATACTTTATCAGATTTGTTAACATGAC